TTGGAGATAGCCGCAATACGGCAATTTTTGTGGAATTTTGATAAAGGAACACTTTTATTTTTGCACTTTATTGTATAATATATATTCATTGTTTTCGCTGTAGGCACATAGACTTGTATACACGGACCAATAGCGCTGTATAGGGGTGATTATATATTGCTGGAACGTTTTTTCCGGCAGCAGGCAGAAGCAATCAACCATCAGGCTTTAGGAAAGCCGAAACAGACTTAAAAAATGAATTGCAGCTCATCTGACTACAGCAGAGCCAGATACTAATTTTAGCCGGAAAAGGACAGAAGAGCGACACCCGCGACACCTTGTGTCTTGTAACAATATCACCATAAGATATGTGAAGTTTTGCATAGTCCTTATTACATATCTAGTATCAATGTGCTGACCACAGAAACATTTTTGTGTTCTAGATCTCCCTGATAATGTATATAAATTCCCTGTACGTGGAGTACCTAGGTAAGTCGCACTTTTATTCACCAAAGTAGTAGATATAGAGGGAACCAACCGCACCACATCCTGTTGTTTGCCAAAAGATTTCCATCAACCAAAAAAACTGAGACTTTCAGTGCCGGTTCACACTGGTGCGATTTCTATGCGGATCTGATGCGATCCGAAAAGCATAGATCCTCATGTCATCGACAAAAGCATTACTTCCAATGCAGGCTGTTCACATATACAGTTGTGTTCAAAATAATATCCGTGTGTTGAAAAAGTGACTGAAGCTGCAAATCCTTCTAATCCTTTTATTTCCATCCACACAAATGCATTGGGAACACGACACATTCTATTCCAAATCACAACATGAAGAAAAATACATCAAATTTGTGTTGTTCCTCTAAAAATTGGAAGAAATGTGAATATTAGACGGTTCAAAAAAATGGCCGTGTTTGTATTCTTCTTTACAAACTCCAACATTCACTATATAAACTGAGAAATGTTTGAAGATTTTGCTTTCCTTTGAATGACTTCATGAATATTTGGTTGTAGTCGCACTGTTTCTGAGAACTGCTGTACATCTGTGTTGCATGGAGTCCCCCAACTTCTGGCCCCTGTGATCAGGTATTCCAGCCCAGGATGATTGGACCACATTCCACACTTCTTCTCTATTTCTTGGTTTGGCCTCAGAAACGGCATTTTTGATGTCACCCCACAAGTTTTCTATTGGATGAAGATCCGGGGATTGGGCTGGCCACTCCATAACGTCCATCTTGTTGGTCTGGAACCAAGATGTTGCACGTTTACTGGTGTGTTTGGGGTCGTTGTCTTGTTGGAACACCCATTTCAAGGGCATTTCCTCTTCAGCATAAGGCAGCATGACCTCTTCAAGTATTCTGATGGATTCAAACTGATCCATGATCCCTGGTATGTGATAAATAGGCCCAACACCGTAGTATGAGAAACATCCCCATATTATGATGCTTGCACCACCATGCTTCACGGTCTTCACAGTGTACTGTGGCTTCAATTCAGTGTTTGGGGGTCGTCTGACAAACTGTCTCCACCCACTAGACCCAAAAAGAACAATCTTCCTTTCATCAGTCCACAAAATGTTGCACCATTTCTCTTTAGGCCGGTCAATGTGCTCTTTGGCAGATTGTAACCTCTTCAGCACATGTCTTTTTCCCAACAGTGGGACTTTGCGGGGACTTCTTGCAGATAGCTTGGCTTCACATCGGCGTCTTCTAATTGTAACAGTCCTCACAGGGAACGTCACACCTTCTTTCATCTTCCTGGAGCTGATTGTTGGCTGAGTCCTCACAGGGAACGTCACACCTTCTTTCATCTTCCTGGAGCTGATTGTTGGCTGAGTCCGCCCCATTTTGGCTATTCTTCTATCCATTCCAATGGTAGTTTTTCTCTTTCTTCCACGTCTTTCAGGTTTTGGTTGCCATTTTAAAGCATTTGTGATCATTTTAGCTGAGCAGCCGATCGTTTTCTGCACTTCTTTATATGTTTTCCCCTCTCCAATCAACTTTTTAATCAAGGTACGCTGTTCTTCTGAACAATGTCTGGAACGACCCATTTTCCTCAGAATTTCAGAGAGAAATGCACTGTAACCAGCATGTCCAACATTTGCTGCCTTCCTTAAATAAGGGCAATCATTGCCACCTGTTTATCAAAGAATGAATGACCTCACTAATAGAACTCCACACGGCTATTATTGTGAACACGCCCCTTTCAATGAGTGATTCAATGACACAGAATCAGCAGCATGCATGTCATGACTGTCGGGTCTGTTGGATTTCTATGACTCTACTACACCCTGCTAGGAAATTATCTGCCATGTAGAAATATCATTTCCACCAAAAACAGAGATTGATCCGGTTAGTGATGTCTGACGGCTATTATTTTCAACACAACTGTACAGTGAAGGAAATGTGTATTTGCTCCCCTCTGATGTTGAATGTTCGCCCCTCACACAGAAATGATCGGTCTAACAATGGAATGTTCGCCCCTCACACAGAAACGATCGGTCTAACAATGGAATGTTCGCCCCTCACACAGAAATGATCGGTCTAACAATGGAATGTTCGGTTTCCCACCGAGAGACAGAATACAACAACAAATTCAGCAGAAATGCGTCTAACAAATGATGACGGATCTGCATGTTCATGAGGGAAAGAAGGATTTGATCCCCTTCACAAAACATGACTTAGTACTTGGTGGCCAATCCCTTGTTGGCAATCACAGAGGTCAGACGTTTCCTGGAGTTGGCCCCCAGGTTCGCACACATCTCAGGAGGGATTTTGGCCCACTCCTCTTGGCAGATCCTCTCCAAGTCATTAAGGTTTGGTGGCTGACGTTTGGCAACTCGAACTTTCAGCTCCTCCACAGATTTTCCATCGGATGAAGGTCTGGAGACTGGCTAGGCCACTCCAGGACCTTAATGTGCTTCTTCTTGAGCCGCTCCTTTGTTGCCTTGGCCGTGTGTTTTTGGTCATTGTCCATGCTGGAACACCCATCCACAACCCATTTTCAATGCCCTGGTGGAGGGAAGAAGGTTCTCGCCCAAGATTTGATGGTACATTGCCCCGTCCATCGTCCCTTTGATGCGGTGCAGTTGTCCTGTCCCCTTAGCAGAAAAACACCCCCAAAGCAGAACGTTTCCACCACCATGTTTCACAGTTGGGATGGTGTTCTTGGGGTCATAGGCAGCATTCTTCCTCCTCCAAACACGGCGAGTTGAGTTGATGCCAAAGAGCTGGATTTTGGTCTCATCTGACCACAACACTTCCCACCAGTCCTCCTCTGCATCATTCAGATGTTCAGTGGCAGACTTCAGATCAAATACTTATTTCCTTCACTGTATGTGGTGTGAATTTGATTCGGTCCAAAAAAGGTGAGTTTAGTTCGGATGTGGTGCAAATTATATCCCCTGCTATGCCCAGTCCCCTCAGAAATCACATTCAATTCGCAACTGTCACAGCAGAAATTGCACTGTGAAACTGCATCAGATTTGCACCGCATCAGCATGAACCGGCACTCAAGGTGCCAAAAAGAGAACAAAAACCTTAGTAATAACATCTCTTTTTATTGTACAAAACACAATACAGGAGATAGAATTTTGTTAAAACATTATAGTAACCAAGGCTGGCCATACATTATACAATTTTCTTGAGAATTTTGCTTTAGATTTACCAAAAACCATATACCGTAGTTTTCGCTCCATAAGATGCGCCTAGGTTTTAGTGGAGGAAAAACAAAAACAAATATTCAGAACCAATGGACTGCAGACATAGTACAGGAGATGACCAGAGACTGAGGACACAGTACAGGAGATGACCAGAGACTGAGGACATAGTACAGGAGATGACCAGAGACTGCGGACATAGTACAGGAGATGACCAGAGACTGCAGACACAGTACAGGAGATGACCAGAGACTGCAGACATAGTACAGGAGATGACCAGAGACTGCAGACATAGTACAGGAGATGACCAGAGACTGCGGACATAGTACAGGAGATGACCAGAGACTGCGGACACAGTACAGGAGATGACCAGAGACTGGCGCAGACATAGTACAGGAGATGACCAGAGACTGCAGACACAGTACAGGAGATGACCAGAGACTGCAGACATAGTACAGGAGATGACAGAGACTGCGCAGACATAGTACAGGAGATGACCAGAGACTGCGGACACAGTACAGGAGATGACCAGATACTGAGGACACAGTACAGGAGATGACCAGAGACTGCAGACATAGTACAGGAGATGACCAGAGACTGCAGATATAGTACAGGAGATGACCAGAGACTGCGACACAGTACAGGAGATGACCAGAGACTGCAGGACATAGTACAGGAGATGACCAGAGACTGCAGGACATAGTACAGGAGATGACCAGAGACTGCGGACATAGTACAGGAGATGACCAGAGACTGCGGACACAGTACAGGAGATGACCAGAGACTGCAGACATAGTACAGGAGATGACCAGAGACTGCAGACACAGTACAGGAGATGACCAGAGACTGCGGACATAGTACAGGAGATGATCAGAGACTGCGGACATAGTACAGGAGATGACCAGAGACTGCGGACACAGTACAGGAGATGACCAGAGACTGCGGACACAGTACAGGAGATGACCAGAGACTGCGGACACAGTACAGGAGATGACCAGAGACTGCGGACACAGTACAGGAGATGACCGGAGACTGCGGACACAGTACAGGAGATGACCAGAGACTGCGGACACAGTACAGGAGATGATCAGAGACTGCAGACACAGTACAGGAGATGACCAGAGACTGCAGACACAGTACAGGAGATGACCAGAGACTGCGGACACAGTACAGGAGATGACCGGAGACTGCAGACACAGTACAGGAGATGACCGGAGACTGCAGACATAGTACAGGAGATGATCAGAGACTGCGGACATAGTACAGGAGATGACAGAGACTGCAGACACAGTACAGGAGATGACCAGAGACTGCGGACACAGTACAGGAGATAACCAGAGACTGCGGACACAGTACAGGAGATGATCAGAGACTGCGGACACAGTACAGGAGATGACCAGAGACTGCGGACACAGTACAGGAGATGACCAGAGACTGCGGACACAGTACAGGAGATGATCAGAGACTGCGGACATAGTACAGGAGACTGCAGGACACACAGTACAGGAGATGACCAGAGACTGCGGACACAGTACAGGAGATGACCAGAGACTGTGGACACAGTACAGGAGATGACCAGAGACTGCGGACATAGTACAGGAGATGACCAGAGACTGCGGACACAGTACAGGAGATGACCAGAGACTGCGGACACAGTACAGGAGATGACCAGAGACTGCGACACAGTACAGGAGATGATCCAGAGACTGCGGACACAGTACAGGAGATGATCAGAGACTGCAGTCTACAGTGTTTGTAGCTGCTGACTTTTTTTTTTTTTTCAGTTGAAACTCCGCTTTAAGGGGCAGCTGCTTTGGGCCCTGCCTGGCGTCACCACAGAAGAGCAGAGTGGCCGGCCCGGTATTATAACACGGCGGCAGGAATACCGGGCCGGCCACTCCATATTCCCTCCATAAGACGCACAGTCATTTCCCCCCCATTTTATATGAGGTCAAAGTTAAAGAACACTTTCAATTGTATCCAATCAGGCGGGCCCTTGCACTGTATAGTTGAAGTTAAATCTAAAGGAAATTGGACAAAAAATTGAATAATGTATGGCTGGCCTTTGACAAGAAAACTTTGAGATATTTCAGTCATTGCGTCACCAGGAAACCACAATATTCATAGACCCCACACAAAGAAGAGCATCGTTAGAATTCATTTATACATTTTTTAAAAGTTGCCTTGTTACCACAAGTTGTGTACAATTTGTTTTTCTTTTGAAAAAATATATGAGATCCTAAGTTCCCTAAAAATGCCTCGATTTGAGATACTCATGCCTCAATTTGTATAAACCCGTGACTGGAAATGAAATCTGACCGAATAGTCGCAAGCCTTGCTCACGATCACCCAAGCCTCTATTTCATATCTGTACCCAAGGTCAAATCCGGGCCTTGTGACAACACAGACCTCAATGGCAATTCCAGACCCGGAACTAAATACAGGGCCAAAAGCAAAACCGAGCCTCATAATAAATCCAACTAATCTACAAGTAAACCAAATGGAATACCACATCTAAAACAATATATAAATATACATATACAATAAATGGAATAATGAGAATAAATGTGAATGTCTAGTCCTGCCCATATTCGAGCCATCTAATACAGCCCCCTAGTGGCTGAACCAACAAAACCCAATACAATGAAATATTAAAAACAAATTATTAGCATAATATATCTATACATCCTTAAATCAAATATAGTCTACTGCAGGAGGGGGGGGGGGGGGGCATAAAAAAACAAAATAAAAATCTCAACTAATTAATACCAAAGCATGTATGTCCCAATCCACATTTAACCCTCATGGTACATAGTGTAACGGAACCGACCCCAACTGCGCTTGGGTACTTTCGTTAGAATACCGCTTCCCCATCCGAACACCCCCAGACCCACCACCACCGCCGAGACAAGACCACGACACCAGTCCGAACCCGACCACACACCACCACCGACCATAGACTAGACGACACCAGTCTGTCTGAACACCGACCACTGACACCACCACCGACCATACAAGACTAGACGACATCACTCTGTCTGAACATGGAACTCTTTATTTGAAACTCGAACTGACTTTTTATATACACTCAGGGGGCACTCCCCCCTCCCTGCATAATGACACAGGGCGGGGCAATCTACATTTAGCAACAAGAGACAAACAGGTATTCAAACTTCACACCAGCAGACAGTCCCATCATTAGGGAGGGCTGCTGGAGACACTCCCCCCCAACTAAGCTAATACACATAAACACATACATCCCATAATAGTTTGCTCCCAAGCCAGACAGACAAATAGAACAATGGGATGCAGCCACATAGCTTTAAACAATCCACAACCCCCCCACCCCAATATCAGGACAGATCACCCTGTACCCCTAACAGGCACAGGGTAACTTACACATAATAGGGATATGGGGAGCGGAGACAGGGGTCTCCCCACCTCTCCAAAGTGAGCTGGTTCCATGGGCCCCCCACCCAAAGTGACTCCCGTCACACATAGTATTCCATGCTATGGATCCATCTGGTCTCAAGTTTGGAAACTTCTCTCATAGTACAATTACATTTCTTTAGTAAGAATGTCAGTCATCTCTCAGTGGCATTTCACCTGTCGGTAGATGCTGGGAAAGTCAGTCACTGGCTGGCAACTATCTCTTCTGCACCCCAGAATCAAGACAGAAACCACTACTATCCTACTTTATAGAGGAATGTCACTGCAATGCCACTTCTAAAGTTACACATGGGACAGTTCCTGGCCACTGGACAATATCCTTCTTAGCCAAAAGACAATTTCCTTACTGGCCACTGTAAAATATTCTTCCTGGCCACTAGACACCATTCTGGCCACCAACAATATCCTTTCTGGCAAAGACAAAAAAAATCCTTCCTGGCCACAAGGAAAATCTTTTCTGGCCAATTGTAAATATATCTCTCTTGGCCACTGGCAATATCCTTCCTGGCACACCTTCCCGACCACAGGACAATTCCTGGCCACAGGACAATATCCTTCCCGACCACAGGACAGCAGTAAGGCCAAGACAATATCCTTCCAGGCCACAGGACAATATCCTTCCCGACCACAGGACAATATCCTTCCCGGCCACAGGACAGTATCTTATCCTTCCCGACCACAGGACAGTATCCTTCCCGGCCACAGGACAGTATCCTTCCCGGCCACAGGACAGTATCCTTCCCGGCCACAGGACAGTAATATCCTTCCCGAACACAGGACAGTATCCTTCCGGCCACAGGACAGTATCCTTCCCGGCCACAGGACAGTATCCTTCCCGACCACAGGACAGTATCCTTCCTGGCCACCAAGGACAGTATCCTTCCCCGGCCACAGGACAGTATCCTTCCCGACCACAGGACAGTATCCTTCCCGGCCACAGGACAGTATCCTTCCCGGCCACAAGGACAGTATCCTTCCCGACCACAGGACAGTATCCTTCCCGACCACAGGACAGTATCCTTCCCGACCACAGGACAGTATCCTTCCCGACCACAGGACAGTATCCTTCCCGACCACAGGACAGTATCCTTCCCGACCACAGGACAGTATCCTTCCCGGCCACAGGACAGTATCCTTCCCGCCACAGGACAGTATCCTTCCCGGCCACAGGACAGTATCCTTCCCGTCACAGGACAGTATCCTTCCCGGCCACAGGACAGTATCCTTCCCGGCCACAGGACAGTATCCTTCCCGGCCACAGGACAGTATCCTTCCCGACCACAGGACAGTATCCTTCCCGACCACAGGACAGTATCCTTCCAGGCCACAGGACAGTATCCTTCCCGACCACAGGACACTATCCTTCCCGACCACAGGACAGTATCCTTCCCGACCACAGGACAGTATCCTTCTCGGCCACAGGACAGTATCCTTCCCGACCACAGGACAGTATCCTTCCCGACCACAGGACAGTATCCTTCCCGACCACAGGACAGTATCCTTCCCGACCACAGGACAGTATCCTTCCCGACCACAGGACAGTATCCTTCCCGGCCACAGGACAGTATCCTTCCCGACCACAGGACAGTATCCTTCCCGACCACAGGACAGTACCCTTCCCGACCACAGGACAGTATCATTCCCGACCACAGGACAGTATCCTTCCTTCCCGGACCACAGGACAGTATCCTTCCCGACCACAGGACAGTATCCTTCCCGGCCACAGGACAGTATCCTTCCCGGCCAAAGGACAGTATCCTTCCCGACCACAGGACAGTATCCTTCCCGACCACAGGACAGTATCCTTCCCGACCACAGGACAGTATCCTTCCCGACCACAGGACAGTATCCCTCCCGACCACAGGACAGTATCCTTCCCGACCACAGGACAGTATCCTTCCCGGCCACAGGACAGTATCCTTCCCGCCACAGGACAGTATCCTTCCCGGCCACAGGACAGTATCCTTCCCGAACACAGGACAGTATCCTTCCCGGCCACAGGACAGTATCCTTCCCGGCCACAGGACAGTATCCTTCCCGGCCACAGGACAGTATCCTTCCCGACCACAGGACAGTATCCTTCCCGACCACAGGACAGTATCCTTCCAGGCCACAGGACAGTATCCTTCCCGACCACAGGACAGTATCCTTCCCGACCACAGGACAGTATCCTTCCCGACCACAGGACAGTACCCTTCCCGACCACAGGACAGTATCATTCCCGACCACAGGACAGTATCCTTCCCGACCACAGGACAGTATCCTTCCCGGCCACCGGGCAATATTCTTCCTGGTCACTGGACAATAATCTCCACCGATTTCAGGAAATGTCCATGCAGAATATATTTCCTTTCCTCTGTTATCCAGTTATGTTTTATGTGTCATTTGTTGGCTCAACTACTAAGGTTAGATTGCTTTATGCTAGATTGTAAGCTCTCAGGATCAGGGCTCTCTGTTTCCTCTTGTACCAAATTGTATTGTAACTGTAATGTCTGCCTTCATTTTGTACAGCGCTGCGCACACTGGTGGCGCCATATAAATCCTGTATAATAATAATAATTAACAAAATTGAACCTGATCATATATTAAGTCAGTCACTGGATGACTCCTTTTACATCTCAGGACTCTGACTGACTTTCCAATTCTGCAACCACCCAGAATCACACATTTATACATTTCTTAGTAATATAAATGGAATTACTCTGGGGCGCATGCACGACCGTGGATGAGGAAGATCGCATCTCCCTGAAGCTCCGTGCATCCCCGGCCTTAGCGACTCACCCACAGCGCAACGTCAGCCTCCAGGTGTCCCTGGGTGAGACATATCAGCCCTGCACCCGGCCCAGCACATAAGGGGAGAGATAATGGGGAAGATCGGGCGCTGGAAGCCCCCTTCCCCGCCGCCACATGACCCACGGCAATCCCCGCTGCAGCGGTTCCTCAATAGGCCACAATCCCGGCCTCAATTACGGCCGTGATCCCGAGGACAAGTTCTGGACCCCCAGCGGCGGCCAGAGGTACTGCAGCTAAATCCCATACTGTACAGCCAGCATCCCCAACCTCTCTTAACCCCCAGATGGAGGATCCTGAGCCCCTGACATTGGTAGGGAGCACGTTAGAACCAGACCACGCGACATCATCGTCCGCTTTCATTTTTTTTAACGTAAAGAAGCCTTGTTGTCCTCAATAGGCAACAAGCCTTCCGTGGAATTTAAAGGGGACAGGCTCCAGCTCGTTTGTGATCTCTCTCCAATTACCCTGGTCAAACGGTGGGCGCTGAAGCCAGTCACCACGCATCTTCAACATTACTGTGCCCCTTATCGCTGGGGTTTTCCCTTCAAGCTGGTCATCTCCAAAGATGATTTCCAAGTTACCCTACGTGATTTTTTTTAGAGGTAGACTCCT